GAGACGTCGATGGTCCGGAGTCCCCGAGGCTCCAGAGACGTCGCATGGTCTGGAGTCTCCGAGGCGCTGGTCCGGAGTCCCCGAGGCGCTGGTCCGGAGTCCCCGAGGCGCTGGACCATCCGATGGTCCGGCGTCCCCGGGCCGCCGGACCATCCCATGGTGTGGAGGCCCCGAGGCGCCGGGTCATGGAATGGTCCGGCGTCCCCGATGCGCCGGACCATCCCATGGTCTCTGTTGGACCCCGAAATGCCGGACCACTCCATGGTCCGGAGCCCCCGAGGCGCCGGACCACCCCATGGTCTGGAGCCCCTGAAGCCCTGGATCACCAGATGTATCGGCCCCCCGGGGGAGCCATTTTCCGATACGTTGTTACAATTTTTTTTCCCTTTTTTTTGTTTTTTGTTTTTTCGTTTTTTTTGGGAATGAAAAAAATGGGGAAAAATAAAAACCCACGTACACACGCAGCTGGGGAGTGTTATATCAGAAGCCGGGAAAGGGGCCCCATGTCCCATACAAATAAACATAACTGTCTGAAAGGCGAACAACACAGACCCCCAATGGAGATGGCTCGAAACTAGTGCTGAAGGGCTACACCAGCTGGAAAGCGGGTCCAGCGTCCCAGTTTTGTACACCACACTCCTGTTTCATTTGACTAGCAGCGATCTTCCCACCTTCACACCAGTTCTCCTTCTCGACCTTCCACTATATCGTAACCCTGCCTTTGTCCTTGGCATGTACATAACACGGCTGTCCCAGTTTTATAAAAAAAAAAAAAAAAAACATAAGAGGACACGAAAGGCGCGACTGCAATAGATAGGTACTGGGGCATACCACACGGACCCACCTACGTAGTACACACTGCAGAACGTACGCCCTGTACCCCGACACCACACGCTTCCCGCCATGGTTGAAAACAATTTGACTACGGAACTGTTTGACAATGTTCTAGGATTCAAGTGGACCTCCGCCTCCTGTCAACGATTTCCCTATTGCATCACGGATACACGTCAGTTTTTTATCCACCTCTTGCCAAATGTCGATATTGTCGACTTGACCGGCTAACACTACATCCATCCTACTGTTCGGACATCGGCCTTGCACTAAGCATATGCCCTTCTTTTGGAAACTCAACTTGTTCCGTAAGATATATACAACTGCGTCGGTTAAAGTTCGACTTTTGTTCGAACAAACCCCGCACAACACCCTACCGAATATGAATTTGGCTAAACGTAATCTGATGCAACAGTACGACACAGCTCGTGGAGATGTGGAGCACAACA